AAAGTGAGAAAGCAGCAAAGCAGTGCATTCAAAGATCTAAATGAAAAGTGTTTCCAGCGAAGCCCTACTCTTAGCCAAACTAACAACCAAACAGGAGGGGAAAATAAAACCATCTTCACACACAGTCTCAGAGATTTCATCTTTTACGTCGACCCTTTTCCTCCCCAGGAAACTATTGGAGAACGTACTCCACCAAAACGAAGGTGTATACATCAAGACGGCAACCTGGGATGTGGGAAGCAGAGGTGAGAACACAGGAGACGGGAGGAAGCTTGGGGTGATGGTGAGGGGGACTCCACCACAGCAGTGCTGTGGGTTGGGAACAGCCCAGGATGTGGCTGGAAGACACGGCGCTCCAGAAAAGAAGCCTCCCCCAAACCAGTCATTCATAGATTCGGTCACATGTTTCACAGCTCTGTCGAAGTTTAGGAAAGGATGTATAATGGCTTGAGAGAAATCTAAGCAAATCAACAGCAGAGGCAATTTTTAACTCCAACAAGACATTTGTACCAAAATAGAACTATGCTATGCTATGTGAACACTTAATATTGCCAAGCACAGTGGCTCATACTTGTAATCCCAGCACTTTGGGAGGCCAAGGTGGGATGATCCCTTGAGCCCCAGGGTTCGAGACCAGCCTGGGCAACACAGCAAGACTTGACCTCTATAAAAAATGAACAAAATTAGTCAAGCATGGTGGTGCACACCTATAGTCACAGCTACTTAGGAGGCTGAGGTGGAAGGATTGCTTGAGCCCAGAAGATCGAGGCTGCAGTGAGCCAAGACTGTGCCACCGCACTACAGCTGGTGACGGAGTGAGACACTGTCTCAAAATAATAACAATAATGAGAAACACTTAATATTGATTTACCAAGAATGATCATTTAACTACATTGAAAGAAGGAGGGTGGAGAAAATTATATTTTTGTTGGGGCATAAAATGGACAAATCATCATTTTCTGTGATAGAAAATGAACAGTTACTATCTAAAAATTTAAAATATCATAAAATGGCAGGATTAACTTCAATTAAAGTAGGACTCGGGGGCCAGATGTGGTCGTTCATGCCTGTAATCTCAGTACTTTGAGAGGCTGAGGTAGGAGGATCACATGAGCCCAGGAATTCAAGACTAGCCTGGGCAACATAGGAGGACCTTGTTTTTACTAAAATTAAAAGAAAATTAGCTGGGCGTGGTGGCACACAACTGTAGTCCCAGCTACTGGGGTGGCGGGGCTGAGGTGACAGTCTCTGAGACTGCAGTGAGCCCTGATCTTTCCACTGCATTCCAGCCTGGGTGACAGAGCAAGACCCTGTCTCAAAAAAAAAAGTAAGACTTGAGAAATCTTTTTACAATTGTAAGCCTATAAATTACACTTTTTAAACAATTCACCTGTATTTATTTGATTAGAAAATTGTCCCAGCTACTTAGGAAGCTGAGGCAGGAGGATGGCTTGAGCCCACGAGTTCAGGTCCAGGCTGGGCAACATAGTGAGACTCTGTCTCTTAAAAAAAAAAAAAAATCAAAAAAATTAAATTTAACATGATTAATCAAATAAGAACAGAAGTAGAATGAATACACTCCAAATCGGATAGCAGAAACAGGGAACCAGAGAGCAGATATGACAGATGCCTGTGCTGGTGAATTGGTAGACAGATATGGTAGATTTAGCTCAATACCCATCTCAGTATCTTTCCACAGTCATTCTGACATTGCAGAAGCTGAAAGGTTGAACCTACATTCCCTTGCAGCAGGGATTTTAGACACAATTTTGGTTTTTCCAATCATTTCCTCTCATGAAATGTATAAGGTGGAAGTGACGTGGAGTCTGTGTGTGCTATTTATGCTGGAGAGTGCTGTGACGGAGGTGTTTGCTATTTCTCTTTTTGTTGTCTCTTTGTCACCCAGGCTGGATGGAGTGCAGTGGCGTGATCTTGGCTCACTGCAACCTCTGCCTCCCAGGTTCAAGCAATACTCCTGCCTCAGCCTCCCAAATAGAGTAGCTGGGACTACAGGTGTGTGCCACCATGCCCAGCTAATTTTTATTTTATTTTTTGTATTTTTAGTAGTGATGGGGTTTCACTACATTGGTCAGGCTAGTCTAGAACTCCTGACCTCAGGTGATCCACCCACCTCAACCTCAAAAAGTGCTGGGATTACAGGTATGAGCCACTGCACCCTGCTTTTTTCCCTCTGACGCCCAGGCTGGAGTGCAGTGGTGCAATCTTGACTCGCTGCAACCTTCCCGTCCAGGGGTTCAAGCAATTCTCCTGTCTCAGCCTTCCTAGTAGCTGGGACTACAGATGCATGTCACCATGCTCAGCTAATATCTATATTTTTAGTACAGACGGGGTTTCACCATATTGGTCAGGCTGGTCTCGAACCCTGACCTCAAGTGATCTGCTGCCTTGGTCTCCCAAAGTGCTGGGATTACAGGTATGAGCCACTGTGCCTGGCTAGTGTTTGGTATTTCTGCAGTGGCTTCTCATCATGACGATATGCTTCAAGAGCTGGTAAGTGTCGAGACGGCTTTCCCATTTAGTAGATGGCTTCCTGATTTCAAAAGAGGCAGTGTCTCCTTTGGTGGCTCAGTTTTGCAGCATAGCTCTCCAAGTCATTCCTCAAAGTTCGACCTGGAGGCTGGTGCTTCAGCCCTCCAAACAAGTCCAGAAGCCATTTTACACCCTGTAATAAATCCTTTTGTACTTAAACCATCTAGAATGGTTCTGTTTTCTGAAACTGGAACCAGACAATGTAACAGGAAAGTGGAAATAAAATGTAAAGAAAAAAGCCGCCGGGCGCGGTGGCTCACGCCTGTAATCCCAGCACTTTGGGAGGCCGAGGCGGGTGGATCACGAGGTCAAGAGATAAAGACCATCCTGGTCAACATGGTGAAACCCCGACTCTACTAAAAATACAAAACATTAGCTGGGCATGGTGGCGTGTGCCTGTAGTCCCAGCTACTCAGGAGGCTGAGGCAGGAGAATTGCCTGAACCCAGGAGGCGGAGGTTGCGGTGAGCCGAGATCGCGCCATTGCACTCCAGCCTGGGTAACAAGAGCGAAACTCCGTCTCAAAAAAAAAAAAAAAAAAAAAAAAGCCAGGTGCAGTGGCTCACACATGTAATCCCAGCACTTTGGGAGGCTGAGGCAGGCAAATTACCTGAAAGCAGGAGTTTGAAACCAGCCTGACCAACATAGTGAAACCCAATCCCTACAAAAATATAAAAAATTAGCTGGGCTTGGTGGCAAGAGCCTGTAATCCCAGTTACCTGGGAGGCTGAGGCACAAGAATCACTTGAACCCAGGAGACAGAGGTTGTAGTGAGCTGAAATCATGCCACTGCACTCCAGCCTGGGTAATAAGAGCAAGACTCCATCTCAAAAAAAAAAAAAAAAAAAAAAAAAAAGCATGGTAGATAACACAAAATACAACAGAAAAATAAATCCAATTTTAATTAATAGCTAAATTCTAGCTAACAGAGATATATTTTCAGATTAAATGTTCTAAGAAAGTCCAGCTGTATGCTGTGTCTGAGAGACAGGTGAAAAACAATAGAATATTATAAAGGAATTGACACAAATATATCTTGGAAACATAATGGTGAGGGGAAGTTGCAAAATGATGATTCAGTATCATGTCATTTTTGTAAAGTTTAAAAACATTTATTCCATATAGCATTGCTGAATCTCTACATCATATGTAATAAAAGTTTAAAAGTACAAAAATAAAAAAGTACAAAAGTACAAACTGGAATGATATGTACGGTGACTGCCTCCGGGGAGGAAGAAGAAATGAGATTGGGGCCGTCGCTATGTCTAATTTTCTATGTGTTTAATAAATCCCAAGTACATGCAGCAAAATGTATTACTGTTTCATCTCCATGGTAGGGGGCGTGGGTGGTATTAACATTATTTTCTGTACTCTTCTGAAGGCCTCTAGTATTTTCCACTTTACAAAACACGGACACATTCTCAGGGCTCTCCTGGACATCTGTGCACATCAACATTCATGGTGAGAGTAGCTTTTGGACTCCAAAGAGGAAACTCGCCGGGAGTCGTGGCCCACGCCGGTCATCTCAGCACTTTGCGAGTCCAAGGGAAGCAGATCGCTTAAGCCCAGGAGTTCGAGACCAGCCTGGGCTAAATAGCGAGACGCCACTGCTACAAAAACATTTTAAACTAGCCGGGCGTGGTGGCCTCCGCCTGTGGTCCCAGCTATTTGGGAGGCAGGGGTGGGAGGATCGCTTGAGTCCGGGAGGCCAAGGCCGCGTTGAGCCGAGATCGTGCCACTGCGCTCCAGCCCGGGCGACAGAGCGAGACGCCCCCCAAAAGAAGGGGAAACTCGCGGAGGCTGAGCGCTGGTTCTCCCAGGTGGGGTTGGCACCTGCTGAAGCTGCCACAGGCGTGAGGAGGCCACAGGGAGACCTGGAAAGAACCTGGAAAGGGGCCCGGGGCTGCGGCGCGGAGGCGGCTGCAGGGCCGGATGCCGTCTGTGGTCTGAGCCGAACGCGAGGCCGTTTTTAAAGCTGAGGCTCAGCTTTGGTTGACGGGGGCGGGTAGGGGTGGGGGTGAGAGGTCAGGAAAACAGGCGGGAGGCCCGGGGCCTGCGGCGGCAGGGCTGAGGGCAGACGTTCGGCCCCAGGCGGAATGAGCGCGCCCCTCAGGGGCCCGAGGTGACCTGCTGGAGGTCCGGTCGCCCGGGTTCCACCCCGAGGAGAAAATCTTCATAATTGGGCGGAGGGAGGGGGATGCGGGCACAGGCCGTGTTCTCCACGTCGCGCAGACGCAGCGGCCGGCCGCGGGTCGCGGAGGCCCCGAGGAGCGGCACCTGCAGCGGCCCCGTGACGCCGGGGCGCTGGGCCGGGCTGAGGGAGTCCTCCCGGGTGGCCGGCGGCGGATCCCGAGCCAGGCCGGGGAGCGGGGAGCGGGGAGCAGCCCTCAGCGCCGAGAGCTCCGGGCCGAGGCGGGCGGGAGGCCGAGGCCGGGGCGGGGCGGGGCGGGGCCCGGCGCGGGGGGCGGGACCTCGGCGCGCTCCCGGCCGCTCGCTGGGTCCAGGGCCGCGGCGGCTCCTCTGCCCGGTCGGGCCGGACGACGGGCTTCGGGCGGCGGCCGGGGCGGCCTGCGGACAGACGGGAGGGCCGAGGCGCAGGCCCCGCGGCCGCCGTCTCCAGCTTCTGCCCGCGCCGGGCCCGCGCCATGGCCGCCTCGCCGGGCTCGGGCAGCGCCAACCCGCGGAAGTTCAGTGAGAAGATCGCGCTGCACACGCAGCGACAGGCCGAGGAGACGCGGGCCTTCGAGCAGCTCATGACCGACCTCACCCTGTCGCGGGTGAGGGCCTGGGCCGGCGCGGGCGGGGGCGGCCCTGGTCGCGGGCGGGACCCGCGCGGCGGGTGAGAGGTCGCGGGGCCGAGGCGATGGCGGGGCCGGGCGGGGGCTGCGCCCGGGAAGCGGCGGCTGGGAGCGGAGCCGGAGCGGCCGCGGCCTCGGCGCTTCCCCGCCTGGCGACACCCGCTAGCGGTTCGCGGTCCCGGGCGGAGGTGGGAGGGTCGTCGGGCCCCGCGTGCGGCGACGTGGGCCGTGGTGAAGCCCGCGGAGGCGGTCGGCTGGGCGGGGGCGGCCTGAGGGCGGGAGGAGGACGCGGAGACCCGAGAGGAAATCGCGAGTCGCGGGGAGGCCGGCCGGGCGGTGCGGCGCGGCTTCTGGTCGCTCCGAACATCCCCAGTAGCGAGCCCTGCCGCGCTGCGGGCGTGGAAGGCCGCGGGCACCCCGGGGTCCCACGCGCCCGTGGGGGAGCTCTGAGCACAAGCCCGTCCGGGGCCGGCCCTGGGGTGGCTCGGGGTGTGGGAACCACGACGGGATTCCGTGTTGAGGGTGAGGCTGTGCTCCTTCTACTTCTTGGAGGTCCTTTATTGGGTCCAGTTGACGTGGTTGGGCCCCGGATATTTAGTGAGAACTGACAAGCGTCGCTGGTGACTGGGGAGGGACCCGGAGGATTGAGTAAGGCGCGAGCCGGGACAAACACCTGGGGAGGTAAGGTCACCGCTGAGTGAGGCAGTGGAGGATGGAGAGCCAACCCGAGTGCCCGCGCAGGACTGTAGAGAAGGGAGGTCAGCAGCAGTAAGGCTGGCCTTGACGATCTTGAATACTGACCTTGGAGGACCATCGGGAGGATGGGGGAGGATCTGCAGATACCAGGGGACCGAGGTGGAGGAGGCAGCTGGAAGGAGAGCTGAGAGCAGAGTTGCAAACCAGCTGAGTTGCAGACACGTTATTTTTTGGCCAGCGCAGTGTTTGGGAAAAATTCTTGAATCTGTTGCCAACATTTTTAAATTGGAAGACTTCCACACAAAATCCAAATTTCCTCATTTATATATATTAAAAATTGGAAGACGTGGTAACACTAATCCTGAATTTCTACCGACCACCTGGAGCTGGGTGATGGTGGCCCTTTCAAAAGCAGCAGGAATTCTAGTTTGCCATCGTTTACACCACTCTCTGTCACAGTCCCCCAAGGGGAGGCTAGGTGACAATTGGCATTTATACTCATGATGGTATTTTCTTTCAATGAAGTTAAGGAAAAAGTGAAATATTTCCTATACTTACATTTCTGTTCACACTGAGAAAAAATAAATGTATATAGAGAGAAAGAAGCTGAAGATTTCAAGAGAATGTTTTCTTATACCCTGTCAGCTTCACTCATTAATTACCTGGCTGGCATCCGCTGTTATTTACATTTGTGACCTTGGTTAGACTCAAGGATGAACTTGGTAAGCTCAGAGCACATTGAAAAGAATGGGTGTGTGAAAGCTGAGGATTAGTGCTGGGGCCTGTATTGTTATGTGTCATTTAGATACATACCATATATTGTTATGGACAAATGCATTGTATATGTCTGTATACCTGTGGTACATCCAGTCTTCCACCCCATTCATGAATCTCCTTTAAAATATCCCTGACAGGTAAGGTCCTGAGTCACTTACAGACTGTTTTTTTTTTTTTTTTTTCTTTTTTTTGAGACGGAGTTTCGCCCTTGTTACCCAGGCTGGAGTGCAATGGTGCGATCTCGGCTCACCACAACCTCCGCCTCCTGGGTTCAGGCAATTCTCCTGCCTCAGCCTCCTGAGTAGCTGGGATTACAGGCACGCGCCACCATGCCCAGCTAATTTTTTGTATTTTTAGTAGAGACGGGGTTTCACCATGTTGACGAGGATGGTCTTGATCTCTCGACCTCGTGATCCACCCGCCTCAGCCTCCCAAAGTGCTGGGATTACAGGCTTGAGCCACCGCGCCCGGCACGTACAGACTGTTTTAAAGGCAAATCATTTTTCATAGATTCTCACTGTTGACTTACTTTAAAGTAAAAAAAAGTATTTTCTTCCTTTCAAGAGACCATGCTATAGCTCAAGGTCTCTTGAATTTAGCAAGCCTAATCAACTGTGGCCCGTATGATAATTCACTTACCACTTTATTCTAATTACTGTAAAATTGTGTCATTTTGGGCTTCACCTGGTACAGGGAACCATTTACATGTTCATTCTGTCCTTTTTTTCTTCTTGACCGGTTATAAGTGAAGTAATACTGCTTGGCTTCATCGTGTTCATAAACACATCTGTAAATGATAACACTGAATTTGCCCACTAATGTTTGCTTATTTAAAAATCTTATGGGTGGTTTTCATAAAGAAGTCATCAAATTAGAACACTTCTCATAGAGAACTCTTAGATTCCCAGCGTGTCTATGAAGGACATGTCTCTAAGGATCTGAAGATCCCAGTTGGAGAAGTATCCACCTAGTTCATAGTTGGTAACTGGATGACAGACATACTGACTTTCCATTACTAGCCCATGACAGACAAGCTAATTGATAGGGCAGACATTGCTGATCAATCTAGATGCTCTTTCCCCACTGAGCCTTTGTTGGGCTTCAAGTCCTTCTCTACGTAATCAAAGCAATCCTTCAGAGTTGGAGTTAACTCCTGTTCACCTGATGGGTGGGATAGACTAGACTGGAGAATTTTTTCTAGCTTTAGAAGTCCATGGCCAGTCGTGGTGGCTGACGCCTGTAATCCCAACATTTTGGGAGGCTGAGATGGGTGGATCACCTGAGGTCAGGAGTTCAAGACCAGCCTGGCCAACATGGTGAAACCCCGTCTCTACTAACAATACAAAAATTAGCTGTGCATGGTGGCGTGTGCCTGTAGTCCCAGCTACTCGGGAGGTTGAGGCAGGAGAATCGCTTGAACCCGGGAGGCAGAGGTTGCACTGAGCCGAGATTGTGCCACTGCACTCCAGCTTGGCGCGACAGAGTGAAACTCTATCTCAAAAAAAAAAAAAAAATTAGCTGGGCGTGGTGGCAGTCACCTGTAATCCCAGCTACTCAGGAGGCTGAGGCAGGAGAATCGCTTGAACACAGGAGATGGAGGTTACAGTGAGCCAAGATTGCGCCATTGCACACCAGCCTAGGTGACAGAGTGAGACTCCATCTCAAAAAAATAAAAAGTCCAGTGTTACCAGGAGGCATTTTGAAAAGGAATCTAGGAGGAGTAGTTAAGTGGTGGCACCGGGAATGGTAAAGGGAGGGAAGAAAGTGGAGGCAGGTGTGCCTGGGAAGAGGCTGTTATGTTGTTGGTTTTTTAACGTATTCATTTGCCAGTATTTGAGTGCCCACTAGATTGTTGTTGCGTGTGTGTGTGTGTGTGTGTGTGTGTATGTGAGGGAGGAGGGTGAAAACATGGGGCAGTCCTTCAAAGATCTTACTAATTTGTCCCATATATTTACTTATTGAGTGAGCTGTAGTGTGTGTCAGGGGTTAGGGTGGACACTGGGTATATAGTAATGAGCAAGTGAAACACAGTGTCCTAATGGATTTTAGGATTTAAGGAGGAAAACATTCATTTAATAAGACACATTTTGATGAATATAACCAAAGCAGAAGTAGGTGGAGCTCTGGACACATATGGTAGGGAGTTCTCACCTCTTCCAGTGGCCTAAAGGCTCAGTGGGAGTCAGGGAGGCATTCAAGGGTTTGTGTGTTGAGGGTGGGAATATGTTGCAGGTACGGGGAATGGAGCTTCAGTAAGGGGATGAGGAGGGTGACGTGAGATGAGACTGGAGGTGTCCACAGGGATGAGGTTGTAGAAACAAGATTTGGAACTTGATCCTAAGGACAATGGAGAGTCACTGAAGGGGTTGGACCACGGGAGATCTGCATTTTTAGAAGATTCCTCTAGCTCAAGCATGGTGAGTGGAGGAGGAGGGTTTTAGTAGGAGATATGATAGTGGCGTTTATTAAGATGGTGGCAGTTGGGAGTCAGAGCGGTGAGCAGATTGATACTTAGGAGGTGGGAAGGACTGGATTTGTGAATGGGTGAGGAGGGCGGGAAAGAGGGAGGACTTAAACCATTTCAGGGTGTCCTTCATTAAGAGGAGGAGCAGGTTTGGGCTGTGCAGAAATGCTGAGTTGGAGGTGCCTGTGGGGCAGGTGGGTAGAGATGGTCCGGCAGGCAGCTGTTTAGATGGCTTTGGAGCCTGAGAAGGAAGGCTGGGCTACTGAGAACGAGGAAATATTTGGTGTGGAGCCACAGAAGTAGATTTGGCTGCCTGGGAAGAATTGATGGAACAGATACTGTAAACTGGGGCCTGACTTCTGTATTCGGGCCTCTAACATGTTTTTGGTTTTGGCCCAAAATGTGGTTAGTTGGTTGACTGGTTGGTTTTAGTTAAGGCTGACAATGAGTATTGTTACACCAGTAATCCCAGCACTTTGAGAGGCTGAGTGCACAGATTGCTTGAGCCTGGGAGTTCTAGACCAGGCTGGGTAACATGGTGAAACCTCGTCTCTAAAAAAAAAACATATATATATATATATATATATATATACACAAAAATTATCTGGACATAGTGGCACATGCCTGTAGTCGGAAGGTGGAGGTTGCAGTGAACTGTGATTGTGAGTCTGCACTCCAGCCTGGGCAACAGAGACCCTGTCTCCAAAAAAATAAATATTGGGATTTTATAGTAAAATCTGGACTTTGGCTTCTTTTGAAAAGTTAGATAATCTAACGACACTAACCTGACATTTCTGGTTGGCAGCAATTGCCTGAAGCCGAATGGTGGCTGCCCCATTAGAAAGCCAATGGATGTGGTCTTCAGTTTGCTACAGGCCCCATCACCCTCAAAGATACTCTTTGCAGTGATTCCAGGCAGGTTCACTTAGAGTCCCTGCTTGACAGCTGTAGGCAATTGAGTTTATGACCCTTGTCAGAAAGTGAGTGGTGAAGAGGGCCTAGGAGGAGCCCAAGAAACGGGCTTTTGAAAGGGAGGTGGAGGAACCAGCAAAGAAGGTTTGAAGAGCAACCAGAGGGCTAGGAGAAAGCCAGGAGGACTCCTGTGAAGAGGAGGGAAGGCCGACCAGCTTTACCCAGTGCTGCTGACTTGGGCTGACAGGAAAGATGTGTCCTTTGGTCTAGTCATGTGGAGGTCATCGGAGGAGGTCATCAGTAACTTCAGTGAGAGATGCTGCATTCTCAGGGTGCTGGGTGAAAGGTTAATTGTAAGTCGTTGAGGAATGGATGGGAGGGAATGGAGATAGGGTTGGAAATTTCCAGAAGTTTGGCTGTGAAGAGCAACTTGTGTTAAGGAACCACAAGACTAACTCAGCATATCAACCTGGAGTGTTCATTTGACTTGAATATTTGGGAAGACTCATAATTTTCATGTGAAAATAAACAATAGATAAGACAATAGTAGTCATAGATTAGTGAGGTCTCAGAATGGAGGCGAGAGAGAAGATGGAAATACTAGGTTTGGGCTAAATATTGAGGACTTTTCCTTTGCTGGGCACTGGAATCCCTTTCATATGTTGTTAGCTCCCATAGTCCTCAAAATGACCCCGTGGTGTGTATATCTGGAATTTTCCTCATTTTGTGGGTGAGTAAACTGAGGCTTAGAGAGGTATAGTGGCAAAACTGGAGTGTGGATCTGGCTGTCACAGTGAATGTCTATATACTCAGCTGCTTTAATTTTCCCCATGAGGATCTTCAGCTGCTTTTACTCCCCACTGTAAGGTATCAGCATCACTTGTGGAAAAGACTTTTCTTTCCCCGTTGAATTGCTGTGGCAATTTTGTTAGAATCAGTTGGCCATATATGTGTTGGTTTATTTTGAGGCTCTCTTTTCTGTTCCAGTGATTTGTCTGTCTCTCTTTTTGATAATAGCACACTGTCTGTATTACTATAGCTTTATAATATGCCTTAAAACCTGGTAACCTAAGTCTTCTAACTTCTCTCCTTTTAAAAAGTGCTCTGGCCAGGTGCCATGGCTCACGCCTATAATCCTAGCACTTTGGGAGGCCGAGGTGGGCAGATCGCTTGTGCCCAGCAGTTATAGATCAGCCTGGGTAACATGGTAAAACCCCATCTCTCTAAAAAAAAAAAAATATATATATATATATATATATATATATATATATATATAGAAGCTGGGCATGGTTGGCACGCGCCTGTAGTCAGGAGGCGAAGGCTGCAGTGAGCTGCGATTGTGACACTGCACTCCAGCCTGGGCAATAGAGACTCTGTCTCAAAAAAAAAAAAAAATTGCTCTGACAACTCTAGGTCATTTGCATTTGCACATCCTTGAATTTTAGATTTATCTTGTCAGTGGCTCTAAAAGGATCCGCTGGGATTTTGGATTGTAATGCTGTTGGCTATTGTGAGACTTTCTGGAAAAGGAATTAATGAGGCCTGGATCTCATTTTGTGTAGGCATTAAAGAAAATTCCAGTAAGGTGTGTGACTGTAAGCCAAAGGTTGCTAACTCAGTAAGTGAGGCGGGTAAGGAAAATGAGTGGAGGAACCAGTAATGAGGTGATTGTGGCAGCTGATCCTGGGCCATCATGGAGGAATAATAGGGTACAGTGAGGACCTGGCAAATCCTATGTAAGGGGGTGGCCTCTTGTCAGCTTTATCCAGTAATGCTTACAAGAACACAGGTTCAGTGTTGTCTGAGCTTTCAATCAGGAGAAGTTGTAAATCCAGATTTTTATGCAGGGTCCTAGTTTTTTCAATTGAAATTTAAAACACTGAGTGGGTCCACGTCTGGTGGGTAAACAGAACTCTCTCTCAGTGAAATGCAGTCCAGTGGGCTGCCAGCCGCTGACCTCAGCCTTAGGCTAATCATTCTTTGGTTCACATGTTCATCATCTGTAAACTTGAAGGTGTTGAAGACAGTCTCAAAATTCTTTTTCTAGCTCAATGCGTCTACGTTTCAAAAGAAGAAAATGTCAGAATGTTTCAGTTTTAAGAGGTAGTTGAGAAGATCAGCAATAATGATAGTACCTTGAGAAGTTGTCCCTAGCTTTACATTTGATATACCGCTGTTGTGCCTGCATCACTTAATCCTCACTTCATCTTGTGAAGGAGGCATCAGAGTCCAGGTTACAAAGTCATGTCATCCGATTCAAAGTCCAGTGTTCTTTTTAAACAGTCTTTGAAGGCTCTGGACATTGGTGCTTTGGGAGGGAGAGTGGTTGTGGGGGACTGTGAGATGGCCTTCCACTCAGTTGAAGGCAGGTCCCTCTCTGGATTTAGAACTCAGTTTGGTTGAAGTGTCAAGGTTTTTGGGGAAGAGTTGAGCCTTTGTGAGTAGTCTCCTAAGGCAGAAATTTCAGCCCACTTTCATCTTAGCCGGTGCCTGGCATACTACCAGACACACAGTTAAGTTCTTTGTATCAGTAAATCAATGGATAAATTGGTGCTTCAAAGAAGAAATCAAAGGCTTTAAATCAAGATGGCTGAGAATTTTGTCCAGAGAATTTCAAGAATAGTCAGATGCCTCTGGTAAGTACTTTTAGAATGTTAAGATTGAAAACTGAGAGACTTCATTCCTGTAACTCCGCCCCTAGATGGAAGAAGCTCAGTGTTCCCTTTCTCATGTTTGGCTCTGAGATTTGGGTTTTGATTAATAGGTTTTAACTGTCTCCCTGTGCGGTATGTTTGAGAAATCAAATAAAGCAGGTAGAAGGGAAGTTAAAGCCACTAAAGGATTTTGTATGACTTTAAAATTTCCAAACAGGTGTAAGTCCTTAACCTTTCGGAGATACATACTGAAATACGGAGTGAAAGAATGTCTGAGACTTCTTTCAGTGGGACACTGTGGGTAGTGGAGAGGGTAAAGATGAAAGAAGATTGGATATAAGTTGGTAATTGTTAAAGCTAGAAGATGGATAGATGGGGTTTCATTATACTTATCTTTATTTCACATATACTATTTGAAATTTTTCATAATAAATATAAAAATGAAACAATCAGCTTCATAGGTTAGACAATGCTTTTGGTCAACCAAACTTCACATGTTTTTTTTTGAGTTGGTAAATAGTGTGATCATTCATGTAAAGATGGGACAAAGAAGAGCATGGCAGAAACAGGCACGTGGGCTTTGGTGGCTCAGCTTCCTGCCTGCCACGTGGCAAGTCACTGATCTTCCGAGTCTGGGTCTCCAGGTCTGTAATGGTGGGAGAATACAGTCTCATTTGCATGGTTGTGGGGAGAATTAGGAATGAAGTGAGCACAGTGTCTCAGAATAGCACCTGGCCCATCCTAGGGGCTTAGATCTGGTCATGTTTTGTTGGTAGAGACAGAGAGTAATGAAGGGTAAAAATCTGCCCCAGGCTTCTTGTCTATAACCCTTTTCTTCTCTATATGAATTACAGTGCCAAGGGTTATGTAACCATGGAGCTCATTTATTATTTTAGAAACAGAACTCTTAAAGACCAGATCAGACCACTTTGAGGTTTACAAGAACTATAACCAATATATTGCTTTTTGAAAAATGAAGTAAGGAAGAACTTACAGAAGAAGGGCATATTAAAATGGTGGGGTGCCATTTTATACCTACTGAATTTGCCTCCTTCCTTACTTACCCCAATTAATGATAATACCCAATGTCAGTGAGTTTTTTTGGTGAAACTTTTCTCATATGTATATTAGTAAACCCTTTGGGAAAGGATTTTGGCAGCATATATTGAGAGCTACCAAAAGACCCATATCTAGAGATTTAGTAATCACTCTTTGGAATGTGTTCTAAGGAAATAATTCAGAAGAACTGCTACATAGCCATTAAAAATTATTCTGTAGTAGCATAGAAAAGGCTTATGATGTGAGCATGCTAGCTTGTACCTATCTCATGATCATAGCTATGCAGTTATTACCATAAATGTAAATGGAGGCTGGGAAAGAGCATGAAGAAGGGAACATAGTTCATGTATTAGGGTCATGGATAGTAGCTTAGTTTTTCTTTCAGAAATTCTTTTATTGTTGTCAAAGATCATGCAGGCGTGCCTAAACATATACACTCAAAGACCTTCCAAGAGTATGTTACTGTGATGGTACATGGGACATTTGGAACATGGGTAAGCTATTTCCAAAAACAGAGTAATCAAAACCCAGAAAGCTCCGGAAACCTGAAAGTGTGATCATTTAAGTAGAGAAGAAATTGAAACCGAGACTTTCGTTCTTGAACGGTTTCCCTGCAACATACTATATTCTGATGCTTCTTTTAAATCTTTGCTGTCTCCTCTCAACGTTCTTGAAATTGCTTTCTTTCCAGGTTCAATTTCAGAAGCTCCAGCAACTGCGCCTTACCCAGTACCATGGAGGATCTTTACCGAATGTGAGCCAGCTGCGGAGCAGTGCGTCAGAGTTTCAGGTACCTCCAGATATGTACTTTCTTGAAGCTGAATGGAGTGTAAAAAGATAGACAAAGATTATCCCTAAAAAGATGAGATCCTGAAGGATAAACTGGGCCTGGGTACAGCTCAGTCTTCTTTTGGAAAGTCCACTTACATTCTCTTTCATAGTTTCTACAGCATATGATGGTGTTATTTCACAAATGACTGAAGGCAGCACTGGCCAGTAGAATTATATCACAAGTATATGTAATTTAAAATGTTCTAGTAGCCACAATAAAGAAGAAACTTGTGGGATTAATTTTAACTGGGGTGGTGGCTCATGCCTGTAATCCCAGTGCTTTGGGAGGCCAAGGCCAGTGGATCACCTGAGGTCAGGAGTTTGAGACCAGGGTGGCCAACATGGTGAAACCGCGTCTCTACTGGCTAGGTGTGGTGGCACACAACTATAGTCCCAGCTACTTAGGAAGCTGAGGCATGAGAATTGCTTGAACCTGGGAGGTTGCAGTGAGCAGAGATCATGCTAATGCACTCCAGCCTGGGCGACAGAGTGAGCTTGTCTCAAAAAAATAAAAATAAATAAATATTTAATCCAGTGTATGTAAAATATAATAATTTTAACATGCAATCAGCATAAAAAAAGTTGAGATACCTCATATACGTTTTTTGTACTAAGTCTTTGAAATCTGTTGTGTATTTTACACATAAAGCATGCTTTAATTTGGAATAGCCACATTTCACTAGTTTCATGTGGCTAGTGTCCACCACATGGGGCAGTGCACAGATAAATGGTCTGTACTGCATTTAGATTACTGCAGTGTCCGAGGGTGCTTTCATCATTCATATCAATGGAGAGCCTTGTTCAAAACAAGGTGGAATTGGTGTTTCAGACAGTGGTACATGGTGCCATTGTTAAGATCTGAATTAGGTCAGCTTCGATATCCTAGTCTCTGAAACATTACGAGCCTGTCATTCTCATTATGCAATTTAAGATTTTGATGTTAAAGTTGAGATACAAACTTTAAGATTAAGCATAACTTGATTATTTGGATGCCTGACCATTTTAAAATCACCACGTTACTTATTTGTGATAGAAGCTGGGTTCACTTTTTTGGTGATGTCAAATAAAGCCAAATGTATTATTTAAACTGGAACTTCTATTTGAGAGTCCTAATGGGAACTCCAAATATAATGGTGATTAGAAAAAGTACAATATGAACATATTTGTACTCTATTACACTGGAATCTTGTCTTCGATATAATGACAGTGGACTCTTTACCATATTACTGCCCCTTTTAGAAATCTTTCATCTATCAAACTACCTTATATATTAACCCATTGGGTCGTTTAGTATCCAAATAACGTAGGTCTCTGCCATATGCTGGATTTAATACTTCAGGAAATACAGCATTGTGCAAGTTTGCTGTGTCCGAGATCCCATTTTTTTGCTATTTTATGGTCAACTTCAGAGAAATAGAGAATTTACTATGATATTCCCCTCCCATTGCATTGGGGAATGGGATAAAATGATAATCCTTGGCCTTCCCAGGATTCCTTTTTTTTTTTTTTTTTCTTTTTTTGAGACAGAATCTCACTCTGTTGCCCAGGCTGTAGTACAGTGGCACCATCTCGGCTCACTGCAAGCTTCATCCCCCAGTGTTCAAGCAGTTCTCCTGCTTCAGCCTCCTGAGGAGCTGGGATTACAGGTGCACACCACCATGCCTGGCTAATTTTTGTATTTTTATTAGAGACCGGGTTTCACCATGTTGGTCAGGTCGGTCTTAAACTCCTGATCTCAAGTGATCCACCCGTCTTGGCCTCCCGAAGTGCTGGCATTAAAGGCATGAGCCACTGCTCCTGGCCCCCAGGATTCTTTTCATACAGTTTTTTTTTTTTTGTTTGTTTGTTTGTTTTTTGCAATAGTCACTTACAGAATACTTGGAAGTGTAGTCCACATAATTTTTTATTTTTATTTTTTGAGACCGAGTCTCTTTCTGTCGCCCAGGCTGGAGTGTAGTAGCTTGATCTTGGCTCACTGCAGCCACCAACTCCTGAGTTCAAGTGATCTCCCACCTCAGCCTCCTGAGTAGCTGGGATCGTAGGCATGTGTCACCACACCTGCCTTATTTTTGTATTTTTAGTAGAGACAGAGTCTCACCATGTTGACCGGGCTAGTCTTGAACTCCTGACCTCAAATGGTTCACCCACCTCGTCCTCCCAAAATGCTGAAATTGCAGGCATGAACCACTATGCCTGGCTAACGTAACTGTTTTTTCACTTGAGAATAAGTTGCTGACCTGATGCCCCATCACCCCCAAATACTCACTCTTTTTCCTACAAGCAAAGACATTATTCTATATAACCAAATACAGCCATCAAGGTAAGAGAATTAACAGTGATCTTGATTACAAGCTGATCTTCAGACTTCATTTACCAGCTGTCCCACTACTATCCTCTATAGTAAAAGGATTCAGTTGAGAATCACGTGCAGTTATTGTCTGCCACCTCCTTTAGTCTGAAGCAGCTTTTCAGCCTTTTGTTTTTGACATGAATTCAAGTACTCTTGACTTTTGTGATCTTGTTACTTTTGAAGATTACAGGCCAGTTTTTTTGTAGATATAACCCTTCAGTTGAGGTCTACCTGACATATCTTTGTGATTTGATTCAGACTATGCATCTTTGGTAGGAATAACACAGAAGTGATGCTGTTATGATACCATATTAGGCACATGATTTTGATGTGTCCCATTAATGATGATGTTCTCTTTTATCAGTTAAGGTGGTGTCCACCAGTCATGGTGGCTCACACCTGTAATCCCAGCTACTCGGGAGGTTTAGGCTAGAGAATCGCTTGAACCTGAGAAGCAGAGGTTGTAGTGAGCTGAGATCGTACCATTGCACTCCAATCTGCGCAACAAAAAGCGAAACTCCATCTCAAAAAAAAAAAAAAAGAAAAAGTCCGGGCATGGTGGCTCACACCTGTAATTCCAGCACTTTGGAAGGCTGAGGTGGGCAGATTACTTGAGGTCGGGAGTTCGAGACCAGCCTGGCCAACATGGAGAAACCCTGTCTCTACTAAAAATACAAAATTAGCCAGGCATGGTGGCACATGCCCGTAATCCCAGCTGTTTGGAGGCTGAGGCAGGAGAATCGCTTGAACCTGGGAAGTGGAGGTTGAGGTGAGCTGAGATTGTGCCATTGCACTCCAGCCTGGGCATAAAGGGTAAAAGTCTGTCTCAAAAGAAAGAAAAAGGACAGATGGGTTATATGCCTGTAGTCCCAGCTACTTGGGAAGCTGGGGTGGGAGGATTGCTTGAGCCTGAAGAGCAGAGGTTTCAGTGAGCGAAGATGGTGCCACAGCATTCCAGCCTGGGCACAGCCAGACCCTGTCTCGGAAAAAAAAAAAAGGTGCTGTGTGTCAGCCTTCTCCATTCTAAAGTTACTCTTTACCCCTTCGTAAAGAATAAATATTTTGTGAGGAGATACTTTATACTGATCTTCATTAAACTTTCAATCTATACATTTATTTATCTCTTGGTGTATGGCTTTATGATTTTCTATTATATTCTATTTATTACAATTGATTATTTGATTTTATATTTTGATATAATCTATGATTTTCTATTTTCTATTTATTAAAATCTATAATCTATATTTTCGAAGTGATGAAAGCACAGATTTATTGGAAAGAAAATACATGCTACAGAGTAAGAGTGGGCTTGAGCAAGCTAATTAATTATTTTTATTTTGATCTTCACATTTTCCCCAATTAGGCCGGTAGGCACCCTCTTCTGAACTGAGAAAAATTTTTTAAAAACTGAGGAGAATCCTGGAGCACAGATTTTTTTTTTAAGTAAACTTTTTTGATGCATAATTTACATACAATATAATTTATACCTTTTTTAGGTATATAGCTCTATGCCATATTATCACCACCACAATGAACATGTAGAATAGTTCCATTACCCCAAAAGATTCCCTTGTGTCTCTTTGTAAGTATTTTCCATCCCCACCTCCAGTCTCTGGAAACTCTGGAAATCTGCAGTTTTGACTCTTGCAGTGTCCTCTTAGTGGAATCAAACATCCGTAGTCTTTTGAGTTCTTCTCTAACTTAGCATGTTGCATTTGAAATTTATCTGAGTTGTTACATGTATTAGTTTCCTAGGGCTACTGTAACTGAGTACCACAAAATTGGTGCCTTAAAACAACAGAAATTTATTTTCTCAAGTTCTGAGTCCAGAAGCTGGAAATCACGGTGTGAGCAGCACCGTGACCGCTGTGGGGAGGAATCCCTCCTTGCCTCTTCCCAGCTTCCCTGGGCTGCTGGCAATCCTTAGCTTGTAGCTGCATCCCTTGCTCTCTGCCTCTGTCATCACACACTTTTCTTCCTTGTTGTCTGTGTCTCTGTGTCTAAATCTTCCTCTCCCTTCTCTTGTAAAGAACTAGTCTTTGGATTTAGGCCAAGCCTAATCCAGTATGATCCAGTATGATCTCACCTTTGCTTGATTACATCTGCAAAGATTCTGTTTTCAGGTAAGGTCACATTCACAGGTTCTGGGAGTTAGGACTTGAACATACCTTTTTCGGTGGCCATAATTTAAGCCACTACATTGCATTGATCAGTGGTTCATTTCTTTTTGTTGCTGAGTAGCATTCCATTGTAGGGATGTAGATCATTTGTTTACCCATTCATCAGTTGATGGGCATTTGGGTTGTTTCCACCTATTGGTAGTTACGAATAAATACTATATAAACATTCACATGCAGTTTTTGTGTAAGTACTTAGTAGTGGAATTGCCAGATCATACGGTAAGTGTATATTAACTTTTGCTTTGTAGGAAATTGCCAAGCTGTTCTCCAAAGTGACCCTCCTATTTCACATTCTTACCAACAGTGCACGAGAGTTCCAGTCCCTATATCTTCTCTAGCACTTGGTATTTCAGAGTTTCAAAAAATTGTGGTAAAGAAAACATAACATAAAATTTACCATCTTAACCATTTTTAAAACTAGTTTCTTGG